TTTATAAATAATTAGTAATTGTCCTCTTATTTTGACCTAATAAAATCTAGTACCTAACAAATAAAATATGAGGAAGGGAAATCTATAGGGTTTGGTGATTCTGGGTTAAGTAATAAAGATCGTAGATCGTTATCTCTTATTATGTTCCCCCTTATCACAAAATGGGTTCATTTAAAACAAAAAATAACTCAAAATCAAGAATTTGGAATATGAAAATATTCCCATCAAATATCTTCGAAAATGTTGTAATTTTATTTCCTTTCATTTTACCGAGTGGCACTTTTCCCACAACTAAAACTCGGGTTCACTTTTTTCTCATGTTTTTCAAATAGGGTTTGCCTACTTGATTTCCATTGGAAATGTATCTAATTCTTAAGAAAAGATGTTTAAACAATATCTTACTTGAAGTTATGCACAAATTAAGACAATCTACAGTTGCTCTTCGAATTCCAATTAAAGTCGATCTTGTAATGGAGCGAAAAACTTATCTAATTCTGTTCTTCATGTTTTCTTGGTGTCGTTAGTTTCTCGAGGTAGACATCTCCATAAGAGGGCGATTTACCTAACTTGAAGCCACTCCAAATCCTACACTTCCTTGAGAAGATAGGATTTGAAGGATCGTTATATGGACATCCAAGCATTTCCTTGCTGCATTAGCGATAGAATGAGGCATAATAGATATTTTAGGTCGCAGTGTATTAACACCCCATTCCCAACATAACATCTCCTTTTACGTATTCCCAGAGATAGAATTCTAGGGGCGTGATGTTGTAGCGTTTTAAAATAATTACTTTACATTAAACATCTTTTATTCATACTTTTGAGGTAATTAGGGCTAATTAGGGTAAGTAGGGCTACTGCTTATGCAACATTTATTACTAAGATAAATTTTTAAAAAAATAGAGTCATCGTTGATCGAGAAACGTCAATATCTGACAGGTCAGGTAGAAGGCAAGGCCACAGTTTATAGCCTAAAAGAATCAGTTCGCTCACGCGGACCAATTGGATGTTCCAAAATAATATCCACTCCAGGGATACAAATTCAGGATGCGCAGAAGAATGCTGTTTGAATATAGGCGGTTGTCATATATTGTATTGGTTATGAATTGATTCTGTATGCGCCACGGATACAAATCCGAGTTGCGCAGTGTATAAACTGGAACATTGAGATCAAAAGTGCCGACGCAGAGTGAGCGAACTGATTCATCTATAGCTATAAACTGTGGCAAGGCCTTTTTTTGGGTTTTGGGAGATAAACGTTGGTTAGCGTAAGTTACCAACTTGGGGTTCCCCATTTTTCCAATCCGTTACGATTTTGGTTAAATATCTTAATGATCGTTGCTTAGTATACTATTACTGTATTACTATTATCCCGTTTTATAAATAAATATATACTAGAGCTTATTTCATTAGTAATTTTATCGAGCTAAATTGCTTTCTTTCGCATGCCAACACAAGCCTATTAAAAGTCTACATCTACATGATCTAGTGGAAGAGACATTTTAAATATTGACCTACAAAATAAAACCTAAAAAAATGTTATAAGGTTGTAAAATATTAATACACTTATTCAAATATAGATTTTTCCATGTAGGTACCTGCCTATTTATTTAATCTTTGAAATCACTCTGTAACTGCTTTAACTCTGCTTCTGGTAATTAGGCATTAAACGCTTAAGCTTTTAAATTAATATTTCTTAATACATATATAATTTGTATAATCTTTTAGTGTTAAATATACAATAGTTTTATTTGACTATCCCGAAAAAATATCTAGAGCTGGCCATTACCCATAACGTTCGTAATAACTACATAGCTGTGAATGAAATTTAAATTACCATTTTGTCGCTGTAAGCTCCGACATAAGTGATTTATTTCGTGGCCAACTCTAGAGAAAAAAATTAGTGGCTCACTCCTTATGTACAAAACTGTTCGTTGAAAATAACTTAACTCTATACCCAGACAACACACCAAATCCCAAAGATATCCACAGAATATCTTTTGTGGATATCCAATATATCCACAGGATATCAGAAATATTCCGTGGATCTAATATGGATATCCAAATGTCCGTCTATATCCAGAATATAGAAGATATCCTATGGATATTCAGCAAAATATCTAATTAGTATCTTCCAGACAATACAAGAAATCCCAGAGATATCCACAGAATATAATTTGTGGATATCCAATATCCAAATCCAACCAAATGTCCGTCGTATATCCCAGGATATAGAATTCAGATATTCAGCAAAATATTTTATAGGTATCTTTAGTAGACATTCATAAGTAACCAAATGAATGATAACGTCGAAAGAAAATAGAGATAAAAAATATTTCCAACAATCTGTCTTTGAGTTTGCCCACTAAGGAAAAAGTCATCCTTATTAGGACTCTTCAGCAATAAATGGAAATTCTCGACTCCAATCTCTAATAGAGTCTTAATGCGAAAAAAATGTTCGATCAACTCAATTATGGCGGGTTGAGCATGAGTAGATACGAAAGTGGTATCGCCATCTATACTTAGGAAGCAAAATCAAAAATTACATCTAGTAGTTATCCACGATGGTTTGCGTCCGCGCTAAGACTTTGATATATTTATAGTGGATGTCCATGGGATATAGAATACACCTTAAAAAAATTAATTTTAAATATCTGAACGGTACTATTAGCCACAATGGCGTAATTTTTTAATAATTTGCTATATAATTACTATTATTTATGGACATTTGCATGTCTATAAATTACATTTTATGGATATAAAATAGATATCCACCATGGACTGGACATTCAGTGGATATTGGGATGTTCAGTAGATATCCAAAGGATTTGGTGTGCTGTCTGGGTAATAATGTTCTTCAATTTTAACAAGTTGTTCGACCAACCATTTAAAGGGGGATTTCTTATAAAATTTTGCAATTTCGACTTTTTTCACTGTTGTAATTTTTTCGTACATTCAACGTACAAAAAATAAAACTTTCTCTTGACGTTTTAATAAAATTTTCGTTGTCAGTTACTGCGATACGTATTAGGCCGCCATTTTTTGTTTTGTCAAGAAATCAGATTTATGTCGGTTACCTAAATGATTGGTAGACTATCCTGTTAAAATATTGGAACATAATTTCGGAACACCCTGTATAATTTTTTTTATTTTAGCACGTTTTTATGCTAAAACATTTTAGATCAATGATTCTTTTTATTACGTCCTCTAAAAAGATTATTGGTAGTTAATATGAATCTTTTTATTATTTTTCAGATCAAGACCATCAGCTGAAGAAACATTGAACCACCATTGGTTGAGAAGTGACACTGTTCATTCGGAATCCAAAATCGATACGTCAAAATTAAAGAGATATGTTATCAAGAAACGATGGATAAAAGCCGTTAATACTATCATAGCATTGAAGAGGATGGGAGCTAAGATAGATACGGAACTTATACACAATGATTTGAAAAGTGTGTGATATAAAAATGTATTCATTTCCTACAAAAGAATGTAAAATTTACTAAAATTAAGATGTATAACGAAAAAGTAAATGGCTAATATAAAGGTGGCCACGCACTTATTTTAGTATACCTACTTAAAATAATATTTAGAAAATTCCTAACTCTGCACTTTATAGGTGTATTTTATTTAAAAGTACTTACCAAAAATAAATTTAGATGTTAGCCTGATATAATTATTTAAAAAAGAATGTCTTAAAATGTAACTGCAGCAGATACTGACAGTTTTCCTTCGCAACAGCCCACTAAAAAATGTAATGTTGCCACGTTTCCGTATTTTTTTATACCAAATTCACTAAGAAGAAAAATGTCTCTTAGCTCCATTGTGTAATTTTATAATAATGTACCTTTGGTACAGTTCTGCAGATTCAACATACAATTTCTCTTGTATATTATCATCACCTTATCCTTTAGAACGTTCCAAATAGATTCAGAAATATATTAATACTTTATTACCTATCATTGATCGCACAATTTAATTACAGTTGTCTATAAATTTCTCTAATTCAGAGGTTTTTTCACTGTCATATAATTTGACGACTCTGCTTCAAAAATTAAAACTTTTAAAAAATATGAATGACTATTATGTACATAGTGAAATGTTACATTTCGATATGCAAGCCCTCTTAAGACGTTAAGCGCCACAGCGGTCACTAGTAACCGCTGCTAAACTAGTTTACCATTCAATTGCGATCGCCAGTGATTATCTCATTTTAAGTTATCTGAACGCATACCAAAGTTATTGCTAGTAAAAATACTTGAACGGTCATGTGTGACAGCTACGGATTTTCTGGTTAATTTCACATCAGTAACCAATGACTGCCAAGAGATAGGAGATATTTTAACCAAAAAATGTATATAGGCCGGAAGGAGGAACTGTGGAAATCCCTTGGCGCTTAACGTGTTAAATAAAAACTGAATGGCATATATCAGAGAATCCACTTTATTTTAATTTTCTATTATATATAACTTATTTGCTTGCTAAGACATATAGTATTAGGTTGATATTCATTTAACCAGTTGTGTGTAACAAAAATAAATAAATAATAAGACAACATAATAGTGTATGGCAATCTTTAGATATATTAATTATTAACATTTTTTATGCTTTTTCTTAACAAGTTAAAATAACTTTTCTTTTGTAGATTTTTTTTGTACAATATTTGTACGTTATGGAATAGTAATTTAAAATTAGGAAATATTTTAAATAAGTTCTAGTCACAATTCCATTGTCTTCTATATTGTGTAAAGAAAAAAATATTGTAAATAAAGTTGATGAGAACACAATATTTTTTTTGTTATAATTTTCTTTCAGGAAAAAAAAAATCAAAAAACAAATATGGATAACTTGCCTGTTTTATCCAATAAATATGCTTACTGCAAACAAGCAAAATACAACCGGAAAAAACTTACTGCCTCTTTAATATTTTAAAGGAAACCTGGGTATTAATAAATGAAAACGTTCCAAGATTACTTAGCAAAATATCGTGTTTATTGTAAATACCTAAATAAATACAAAAACACAAAATAAACCTAAAAACTTAACGGTAAGACTTTTGGTAGCGGGCACGGGCACCTGGACCACCGAATTTCTTAGGTTCACAGCGACGAGGATCTGCTACCAATAATGTACGATCGTATTGGATAAGAATGTCTTTCAACTCTTTCTTTGACGCCTCATCAACATCTACAAGAAAAAATAAGATGGAATATATTATTAAAAATAAAAAAACTCCGAATGGGAAAGTTTTCATACAAATAAATGAATGAAAGTACCTTTAAATTTTTATCCAAACATTTTTCAACAAGACTAAAAATATACTCACAATTTTTTAATAAAAATAATAATTTGAGTGTGTCCAGTATTCTAGCAATTTAATATTTACTTGACCAATTTGGATTTTTCATAGTTAAGTGATTAGAGGAAGGCAAGTAGAATTTAATAACTGGCAAATGTCCAGTTTTTGGTTTTAGTTGTTTGACACATTCAGACAATTTATATCTATTTAGTTCAAGTAGGAAACATGTAAACAGACAGTTTATAGTTTTATTTTGTCTAATAGTTAATCAAAACTATTTTCATACATTCTCAATGACTAAATAGTAGCCATGGATTTTTGCTACAAGATAAATCTATTTGGCAATTTGTTTTTTCTATGAAAATTTATTTCATTGTAGGTATAGAAATGAATAAAAGGTTGAGTATAGTATTCACAAAAAAATAAGTCCAAATAACATTCTGTTAATCCCAATTAGAAAAATTCTTTAACAGGCCAATACATAAGAACAAATAAAAGACTAAAAAGCTTTTAAAATTATTTGATGTGTTTTAACAGACCTAAAGATACGTTTCAAAAGATTGGATGAAAGTGGAAAAAATAACGTAAAGAAAACCGAAGGATTAACCATTTTGTGAGAAGATTGCAACTAATGTCTGACCGAAGGTTGGGCTTTGGTTACAGGTTCGGCCAATTTCGGGCTACAATAGAAGTTTCGGCTGTAGTTTCGGTTTCGGCGGAAAAGTGGCTAAAACTGCAGCCAAAACTACTTTCGAGAGTTTTCGTATCACGCTTGATGGCGTCCTACACAGTGAACATGCACACAAAACTTCTCTGCTGTGTTGCAAGACTTTAGTGCTCCTGGCCAAATTTATTGGGATCTAAGGAGCTATTTATTAGGTGAAAACGTGGAAAAATTATTATTTCTAGCCTACAGTAGACTAATTATGAATATATTAATATATAGTTAGAACATATTTTATCAGATGTATTCGTTTTTTTTTAATAGGAATTAAATTTTTTTAGCTCTGTTGGCAACTTCAAAACAACGTGAATTATAATACCTATTATAATACTATTTTTTGTTACGAAAAATCCATTGCAGATGTAGCAAATATTGCTACTTTCTAATTCATTTAGTTTTTTTTTTAATTAATGGCTTTTTTGATAACATAAATAAATAGGTAATAAGGTAAGTGTAGCTAATATTTACAGTATCAGTTAATTATCGTAAAACTAGGATTACAATAAGAAATCGCCTCAAAAGGAGTCGAAATTCGGTTTCGGTTATAACATTTTGTTCCGGTCGGACATTAATTGCAACTTCAAATTTCAGGTGAAAGTAAAATTTCACATTTTGTAAAATATAAAAATAATCCCATACAAAAAATTGAGAGAGTCAAAATGGGGGTGACCTATGTGACCATTGTTAAGGTCATGCATGATCAACTTAGTAAGAACTCCAAAACGTATACAGAGGTTTCATTTCAATTCCAGCCAGTCAAAATACCTTGTGTCTATAAAAAAATTTAAGAAAACCCAAAAAACACGTCAAGGGGATGAATTGTCATAAAATTCGTACCCAAAAATCCAACATATCTCCCGAACGCTTTCACGTCCTGACGCTCAATGTCCCGCCGCCCTACTTTTCTACCTTTTTACGTCCCGGCATTCTCCGTCCCGACGACCTATCTCCCGAACGCTGTCACGTCGAACCTTGCTACTTCACGACGCTTGTCGCCCCGTAAATCTACCTAAATACTTCCTTCATAAGACCTGTGACGATACCCTTCATTACGCAACACCACCTAAGTATTGCCTACCCTATATCCGTCCCGACACAGTACCGTAATAAATACCTCCATCACGACGCTAGGCCTCTCGAAGCAAGACGACGCTCAATGTTACGACGTACCCAAAATAGACGCCGTCTCAACACTAGACTAGACACTAGACGAACCTAATGTCTGTAAAGTTAAACATCTGTTTTTCGATGGATGAATTTAGGTCATTCAATAAAAAAACTAAAACTCATTATTTTAGAAGTATACAGGGTTATTTATGCACACAAATTATGCAAACCTAGATGATGAAATTTAATAGTTAGCTTTCCAACTGGTGCATTGACACTGTTCGTTAGCTCAAGAGGGGCACCTATACTAGCCACCCATTCTACCAGGTTTGAACCATAAATTATATGTGAATATCAACACAGTAAGTTAACCAACTGGCGAATTGGCGCTGTTCGTTAACTCCGTTGGTCATCACATCTTATAGTCGTCGAAACAAAATTCCTTAGAAGTAAATGAACGTGGTCCGCATTTGAGCAGGACTCAAGCGACAAGTGACCAAACTTTGCATCGAATCCTCGTTTATTTTAATTAACATTACAATGTGGGTATATAAATTATCAATTAATTAACTAGATAATCACTAGTACTACTAGAGGAAAACAGCCAAATACAGTAAGTATAGAATTTAAAGTTAAACAAAATTGAGAGGTTAATAATAAAATTTCAGATAAAATCAAAGGGGTATAGGGGTAGGAAGTTACAAGCCCGGTAGTAATTGCCATTTTTAAACGACCTCAAAAAAAGGAGGAGATTCTCAATTCGTCGAAATATTGTTTTTATGTATGTTCAGCGATAATTCTTTACCGCCTTGCGCGATTTCGACAATTCTTTTTTTGTTAAAAAGGGCGAATCTCATGGGTGGTCCCATATTAACTTTAAGATCTGGTAATGGCATCTTCAAGATTTTGAAGACGGTTTTTTAAATTACTTTTAAAACTTGTATTTTGTTTTTAATGGGAAATTTGGTCAAATAGCACATCATTTGAAAGGCAATATTATAGAAATTCGACAATATGACTATTAATAGCATTAACTTTAGCACACTCTAGCAGCATAACAAATGTAATGTAAAGAGCGATAGTTAATTTGAAATATAATTTTATTAGTGATTTAATTTTTGGCACAAATTTGTTATTTTACTTGATTGTGAATAAAGTTAGAGATCTGCACGATTTTTCATATATTTCTTTAAATTATGTTTTGTTATATTGTGCATTAAATAGAATGTTATTTTGGCTGGCTAGTTTAGAAAAATAAGGACTGATGATCCTTGATTTATATGAATATATATTCTTTAGAAAATATATGGCAAACTTTTAAAAGAGAAAGATACAAGAATGTTGATGGTAAATACAGTGGTTATTATTTTATATTAGGAATAGCCGTGTTTTCACAGTGAACATGTGGCAACTACACTCTGGTTCAATCACCAACATTCAGTTTGGCTAATGTCCCACAACTATATCTTCTTATTCTCGATGACTGGCTGTTGCCCTGTTGCCATTTTATTAACTTATACACTAGTCATATGCCCGACACAAAAAATAAGTACTGTATTACTGATAAGTAGTTTGCTTCGATTTCAAAATGCACTTTCAGAATTGCAATATTCATCATTATAAATAGAATATTACAATCATTTAAATTATAAGACAAATATGGTTAAACGATAAATAAATACCCTTCACTTAATTTGGCTTTAAATACTTTTTTGTGAGAAAGATTTTTAAGAGTTTAATATCTCTCTAGATAACAAAATAATAATAATAATAATAATAATTATTTATTCAATTAATCAAAATTAATTACAATAATGAAATACACTTTGTTATTGAATAAAGGTACTTGATAAGTGGTTACCCACTTGTTTTGAGAAAAATAATTAAGAAAAAAGAAATAGAACTTACAATAATAAGCAAGGATATCCTAACTGCAAAAGACATAGTTCTTAACTAAATAGAAAATATGATACATACATAGCAGATAGAAATAAAAATGAAGGAAGGGATAAATATAAGGTGATACGTTGAATAAAATAAAAAACTATAGCAAATTTAAGGTGAGTACTTTTGTTAGTTTTGATTCTATAAGTTCATTAATTTGTTTCCTAGGAATTTCATAATGAGTTTTTTAACTTCTTTTTTATATTTTATTTTATTACTAATCATTTTTATTCTTTCAGGAAATTGATTATAAATTTTGGGTGCTAGATAAGCAAACAATCTCTGACTTAAAGATTTACTTAATTGTGGAAGAAAATGTAAATTTTTATTATGTGTATTGTAATCATGGTTAGGTACATTATTGTTTTTACAGTTGAAGTGAAATTTTTCAGCTACACAATAGAAATACAACTGCCTAAGATCCAATATTTTACTTTCTAAAAATAAGAGGTCACTGGGATATAGTCTTTACCGAGAAAAAATTACTTTCAAAAATCTTTTTTGTAATATTTCAAGTGAGTGTATATGGCACCTTAAAGCATTTCCCCAAACTATAATACCATACCTAAAATGACTTTCTGCAAGAGCATAGTAGTGTTATTAGCTGCTTTTCTGGAAGGTATTTTTTTAAATATTTGAATTTGTACAGAATGCTTTGAAGTTTTTTAATAGTATAGTTGATATGGAATTGCCATTTCAAATGACTATCTACATATATTCCAAGATATTTAATTTCAGATACCTGTTGAAGCAAATAGGGGTGTCCATTAAATTGTACATCAAGTTGATTAAATGGAGGAAGACCTCTAATGTTGCAGCTAAATGGTAAGTATTTAGTTTTTTCTAGATTTAAAGTGAGATACATGTTATCAAACCAACCTTTTATTTTAATGAAATCTTTTTCTACTATATTTTTAAGTTCATTCCAATTTTCAGCATTATAAAAAATTGCAGTATCATCTGCAAAACCTAAAAGATTACCTCTGCTTTCGATGGAAAACAGACCATTGATGTATATATTTAACAGTATGGGTCCTAAGACACTGCCTTGAGGTACTCCGTACTCAATATATTTTATTGTCACATCTTTTCTTCCACATGTATTAACAATATTTTTTAAAAAATAGATAATGAAAAGTTTTAATCACATATACTTACATTTTTGATAGTAGGCAACTAGAGCTTTTGAAATTGCCTGCCTAATAGCATAGATTTGTGATACATGTCCACCACCATTTACTCTAACTCTGATATCAACTGCAGAAAATTTATCCTAAAAAAATGTTAGTTTAGTCTTGATATTAAGAAAAAAAAATAGTAACGAAGGTCAAATTTTGTTCAGAATTATTTGATTTCATTGATAAAATGCTCATATTCGGGATAATGTAATCATCATTTCAAACAAATAATTTTATTCTGATACAAAACAATTTAGAAGTTTGGATAACGTACTTTTTGTAAAGAACAATCTCAATATTGAAATACATAATACTACATGGGCGCATATATGGTATGTACTTTTTCAATTATTTAGATGTATTTACATTTACAAGAACGAATTTAAGTAAAAATTATCCTGTTGCCTGACATAATGATCATGCAGCAGTTAGAAGTTCTGGTTTATAATGAAAATTTTATATTTTTTTTGTAGTAAATTCAAAAAATGTATCCAGATAAAACATGTGTCCAATACAGCCTTGTGAAGTGGCAGATGTGGATACACCTCTTCTGATCCCTAAGATTTTAGAGATTTTTCAATAGAATCAGAAGTATTCTTGCCAAGAAGCACCAGCTTATTTTAAATGTTAATAAGCAACAAGTATAAAGGTCCATAAGACCTGTGCCATGTACCTACTTAATATACAGCCTTTAAAGTACCAAATAGTTCAACCTCATGTCATCAACAAATAAAAACTATTATATAAATCTACTCTATAAATAAATAAAATATGAAATACATAAATACCTTTCCTAACAGAAGAATGGGTTCATGAAGTTTATCTTGGAGCATTTTTGGCTCCACTTGACTAAGGGGCCTGCCATTTACTCTGAGAACTCCTCGGCCTCTTTTACAATAAGCTACGGCTGTAGCAGATTTCTAAAAGAAAAATACTTATTATTAAAATTGGACTATACTAATATTTCGGCATTATTTTACAGAAAACACGTGTTAAAATATATGGAAGGCAGATTATAATAAACTTACTTTTCTGCCAAAAACTTGGACAGAGTGGATTGGTTCTCTCTTCTGCTGAAACAAAAAACACAAGACGGGATTATTTGAAGAAATTTAATAGCAACAATTAGTTATTTTTTGTAAAAAAAGCCCAAAAATTACCTTAGTTGCTGGAGCCTGCATTGTGAAAGACAGAAAAAGGAAGTACGAGTTGACAGGTGACACTTGTCAGTCATGTCGTTTTCTATTTCCGATCAAATCAGTGACTAAAATTCCGCTAAAAAAGCTAAAAAGTAAGGGATAAAAATAACACAAACAAAAAGAAATATGTGAAAAAAGTGGCAAAAAGTTATGCGATTAATAAACTTGAATTTTAAATAATAAAATATTTAAATTTGTTATGCAACTTCGTTTACACTATAGGATATTATTGGTTGCCTATTATTACTCATTTATTTTAAAGTACATACCACATACCAGCAAAATGCTACTTAAATGCCACGCTTTTTACTGAAATGCCACCTTTTTAGATTCAAACTTATAAGCAATAATTTTTTGAATAGGTAAAAATGACCTGATTTGTAAAAATATAAGCGGAAGGCCTATTTTTGGATCTCTACAAAAAATAGACCAATTTTTATAAAAATGCCTGTATTTGCCACGCTTTTTTCTTTTGTAAATCTAGCAACCCTAGAAATGTGGCATCTTCCTCCATGTATGGCATCCTCTGCAGGAATACTCCGCTGACTACGTGTCTCCGATTAAAAAGTTCGGATGAATAGAAGAAACTTTATTTTTTGAGAATGTGGACACAATACAATATATTGTTCATAATATATTACATATTATGTATTAAAAAAGTCGAAATCGGTAGATGGTAGGATTTATATGTACTTATTTTAATTAAACCATTACAAGTATTAGAAATTAAAAATTTTAAAAAACCGACTTCAAAAACGTACAGAGATGCCATCACCTACCCCTTACTAACAAAAAAGAATCATATAAATCGGACAAGGTGGTAAAGCATTATCGCTAAACATACATAAAGAAAGAAGAGTTTGAGGATTTTCTCATAGGCCCAATTATTCGATTTTGACCAAATAATTTATATGGGACCACCCCTGAGGTACCCCCTTACTAACAAAAAACGAATCATATAAATCGGACAAGGTGGTAAAGCATTATCGCTAAACATACATAAAAAATAAAGAGTTTGAGGATTTTCTTATGGGCCCAATTATTCGATTTTGACCAAATTTATATGGGACCACCCCTGAGGTACTCCCTTTCTAACAAATCATTGAAATCGGACCCGAGTATTCTCGGATCGGACACCCTGTTTAAGAATTATCCACATACTTTGATTTTGTATGTGGAATTATCGCTGAAGTCGGTTAAAAATCAATTTTGGCTGCAATAATTCAGGTGCGGACTTAAAATAAATTTGTATTATATTTTGGACAGCATTTTTTAGACAGCTTTATTATTTTTGTATACCTACCTAGTATGGTAGATTTTCATAAAAATAATCTTTGCCTAAATAAAATTATTTTTGTTTTTTGTGAAAATCGACCACAGTTTGTTTTTTCATACTATAGTAATTATGGATTTTCTCAAGAATGGTCAAAATATTTAAGAATAATATTATTATGTTTTTTAATTTCTTATTACAACTGCACCATATATATTGCTATCTTAAAAAAAAATTATAATTTGACCATTTATACTAAAGAAGTTTTATTTGTGTATGAACAATTTTACAAAAGTTAGGAAATTAACTAAAATAATGTTAAAATTTTAAGTATTCTCTCGTATTTTACATTTATTAAGTGTCTGCCAATTAATAGTAGTTTGTTAATTTCTCTGCATGATAGAATGAAATTGAATATAAAATAGTAGCTCACCTCATTCGTAGACTAAAATTTAATGTAATCGGATCAACATTAAAAGCAAACTGGACCTCTCGCGAAAGCAAAAATATTTTAAGGCTTTTCTAATATAAAATTGTAATTATAGGCTGGCTCTATACTGGGATAATACTTCGCGATATTATGTTTCTCGAGAATATGGGTTTTACATTTGTGCAACGATAAGGCAGCACTCTGCAGAGACGTTTAAGAAAAAACGTGGAAAATCCTCCCATTTAAAAGCTACTAGATATTTATTAAAACAAAAAGCAGGAAATTTTGATAGATTTAATTTAGAATGGCGCATAGACGTTTTTTGAAATTCCTTTTAAAATTTTTCAAAATAAATACTTTTAGGTTTACAAAAAATTCAAAGATTTTGTTGTTACTGGTATTTCCTGAAAATTTTACAAAGTCTGACTAAAAATAAAGGCTCAAAAGGAATTATAAATTATCCAGATGTTCGGTTTGCTCTTGATAATAAAAATAATCGATCATAATCATTAATTTATCATTCATTTACATAAAATAGGTAAGTGACAAATAATTTTGTATTCATAAAATACACATGTTTACAGTTCTCTGGCAACACAAAATACATTTCCAATTTTTTTGCATTACGTGCGTATGTGCACAGGATGGGCTTAGGCCACTGCTGCCGTTTATGATGACATTATCATGACATTTACTTTCACCATAACCATACTTTTACTTTCACTAGTGGTATTTCAAAACTTTGGATAAAAATAAAATGGCTATATTTAAGTTAAAAGTAAACATCTAGAAATGTACAGCCGCAGAGTACACAATTCTTCGGTACAATGGTTTTTTCGAAGATTGCTTATATCCAATGATGACACCTCTTCAAAAGGCTCTACTTTAGTTTTGGATAAGTCTTTACCTATTGATATTAATAAACCTATTGGAATTTCCAAAAGAAGGTAAAATTTGATAACATCCCATATTGACACCAGCTGTTATTGTCAATTTATGCAACATAATTTTCTCTCGTTATTTATTGTTTGTCATTTAGGTTTGATTTGCTTGGGACAATTTCCAATTATTCTTCAGATATTACTAGAAAAATGTCAACACAAGCTAGTTCGAGTTCATCTTCTAAGAAAACAAATCGTTTAATACTAGAGAAATCTCCGTATCTTCTTCAACATGCTACAAATCCCATTGATTGGTATCCTTGGGGACAGGAAGCTTTTGATAAAGCTAAAGCTGAAAATAAAATAATATTTCTCTCTATTGGATATTCTACTTGCCACTGGTAATTACCTACTTTCCATTTAACAAAGTATAATTTGCAAACATAAACTTAATTGACTGTGAATATTTATTTCTAATTGCCTTAGGAATTAATAATTTGATAGGAAAGTCTTGTACATTAGGGTGACCATACGTACAGCATTTCACTGTATTGTACAGCATTTATTTTCGAAGTCTGTCCATCATTTGATCTTGTACAGCAAACGTACAGCATAATGCAATATTTGTCCAGTAAAACACTGTATTTGTCAAGCAAAACTTTATTATTGTCCAGCAATGTAACAAATAATTTGCAGAAACATAACAAGAGCTAAAAAAAAAAAGATTTACTGGTCCTTTACTACTCTTCTACTACAAGACTTTTCTGTTTTAACTCTTTCTTTTTAGGGAAATAAAAAAAGTCCACATCTGTCCAAAGTTCATTCAATGTTGCAATATTGTATGTTCAGCATCCAGCGTTGGGTCGAAAGAAATATAATTACTCTATTGTACATTTCATTGTTAAAATGTATTTTTTGTGCCTACAGAATGTATTATTTGATGGACTATGTCGAGAACTTTGAGATAAACTAGATTTTTTTGATCTTCCTGAAGCCTTAATTGACTTATATTTCTAAAATTTTCAGTTTTCAGTATATTTTACAATTAGTGTTAGAAATGGATAAATATCAATTTTAAAAAAGATTAAAATCATTTTATTACAAATTTTATATCTTGAGAAAATGTAAGATTTCCACTGGATTATTTCATTAATGCCCTCACTTAAAATTAAAGTTATTTAATTTTAAACTTAACATGAACTTATACTTTCAGTGAACAGCTCTTATACTAAGGTCTGATGTAACACGTAGTTTAAATGTAAAAAGTACATTCATTTATTTTCAGCTCCTAAACCCTTTCTTTTAGAATTTAAATATAAAATCAACAATTATAGCTGTTTCAGGAAGATCAAATGTAATGAATATGTACAATAATTTAATAAAAATTAAAAATGAACAGTTCCATTCCAATTTCTAAACATATTAAAATTAAAACATTACTATTTTATTTTTTTTATGTAGTTTGGTTATGCCATTTTATTTTCTATAATATTTTAGGTGCCATGTTATGGAAAAAGAATCATTTGAAAATCCCTCTGTAGCAGAAATAATGAACAAACACTTTGTTAGCATTAAAGTTGATAGAGAAGAGCGCCCTGATGTTGACAGGCTTTACATGTCCTTTATTCAAGCTACTGCAGGAGGTGGTGGTTGGCCTATGTCTTTATTTCTTTCTCCAGATTTAGAACCTTTAACTGGTGGCACTTATTTCCCTCCAGAGGATAATTATGGACGGCCAGGATTTAAAACACTTTTAAAAAGTATTGCTGAGCAGTGGAAGAATAAAAAGACTGCGATGTTAAAGTCTGGCAAGCAAGTTATAGAAATATTGAAGAAAATGAATATCAAAAATCAAACTGTTGCTGTAGATATACCAGGTGAAGATGTTTGGAAAAAATGTATTCTTCAACTATCCAGAAATTATGAATCTGATTTTGGAGGTTTCAGTTCATCTCCAAAATTTCCCCAACCTGTGATATTTAATTTTTTGTTTCACATGTATTCTAGCAACAAAGAGAGTGAACAAGGGTACAGATGTTTGGAAATGTGTTTGCATACATTAAAAAAGATGGCTTATGGTGGAATACATGATCATGTAAATAAAGGTTTTGCTAGGTACTTATCAAATATTGATTCTAAATAGTTTTATGTTTTAGGCAACTAATTGTTATTGCCTCACATGTGGTTATGGTAGATAAAAATATAAAAATAACATTAATCTGCCACACATGTTTAATCTGTTAAACCTTGTTTTATTTAATCTTTTTGGTCTGATGACAGCTTTATAGCCAATTTTGATTATTTCAATAACAATATTGTATTTTATACAATAAATAATTTTCAAATGATTATCTAACAAATATTAATGTTCAAACTAATTTTTTAAACGTATTTTTTTAGGTATTCAGTTGACGACAGATGGCATGTACCACATTTTGAAAAAATGTTATATGATCAAGCTCAATTAGCTGTTTCGTATTGTGATGCCTACGTTATTACAAAAGACAATTTTTTTGCTGACATTGTTAGAGATATTCTTACTTATGTGTCAAGGGATCTAAGTCATGATCTTGGTGGATTTTATGGTGCTGAGGATGCTGATTCTTACCCTTATGAAGGTATAAAAACAAACACATTGACATTTATACTTATCCAAGTAAGGAAAAAACATTTTTGTTTCCTTTAAGTACAGGGTGTTTAAAAAAATTGGTCCCGTTGCTAGGATAGGTAGAACACTGCAAAATAAGATGGGCTTCCTCAGTAAAAAAATATCATAGTGGCATCCGTTTTAAAGATACAGGGTATTAAAAAAAATTATACACATACTACTTGCAACATATTAAATAAATTTTGTACGAATTTTTTGGAAGCATACATTTGTTTTTATATCTGCCTCTCATAGAGGGCGCAAGTTACACGGTTCGTTCAATACCCTGTATCTTGAAAATGGATGCTGTTACAAAATTTTTTTACTGAGCAAACCCAACTTATTTTGCATTGTTCTACCTATCCCAGCTATGGGCCCCCTTTTTCGAAACACCCTGTATAAATTATTAGTGCCAATAAATTTAATAAAACCAAAGTTCTGTTGTCTATTCTTTTTAAATACATATTTATCAGTAATTTGTAAAACAGACTACTAACTGCTACATCTTTTTAAAATTAAATGTTGACCAAATTTGAGGGATAATGTTATTAAAAACAACACATCGGAAGTTATAATTCTAATCATGTAGAAACAATAGTGGTGTTTATTTATACAAGAAACACATTAATTTGTCCATTTAATTAGGCATTAAAAAAAATTGTGATTAAAAAACCATTTTTGATGAATATTCCCTTGAAAAAACACCCTATAGAATAACTACATATTGTTACAACATATGCAAATGTTATACCCAAAAGGTAAATATTTTTAAAACGTTTATATTTTCTTCTCGTAATGCGCAGATAGTTTCCAATTCAGCATTTTTGTTCTAGTTGTCTTGTCTTATTTGACTTTTGTAAACGTTTTTAAGGCGGCAGTTTAAACCTGGCCTATTCAGACTTTTGAGCCGTTACATTAAGACACGAACCTCCTTTCGTAAAGTATTTTGCTAACAACTATTTTCTCGAAGTTCGCTCGATAGGTGAATATCAGGTCAAAGCACTGAATTATAAAAACCCCCTTCGAGTAACAGTTGCAACCCCCAAATTTGTAAATATCTCATTGGAAAGGTATCGTCATTCTCTATTCAAAAATGCTGAGATTTTAAAATTTACTGCAAAAATAAAAAGTAAAAATTTTTATTCATCTGATTGACGTAATTCGCTACCAACTCGCTAAATAATTGATAACTAATAGAGTATCGTTCTTGATAATGAGAAGGCAAAAAAACAATTTCAATGACATTTTTTGACGAAACAAAAAAACAAAAGTTATCAACACTATTCATAGTTGGGCACTCTTAATTTCGTTTAAAACGGCTTAGCAACTTGCTGTGTGATTGTAACCGCATGGCAATAATTGCTGTCAGTGTTGTAGGTACGTGTCATTTGAATTTATTAACTACAAATCAGAAACATGGTTTATTTAACAGAAATGCATAAAATAACAATTTTACAAATCATTGGTTACGGAGGTAAAACAGGAACACACAAAAATTTCCCTATATATTGGTGTAAAATATTTAGTTAGCGGACTACTTAACATTTGGTGGATTTCATATACATTCTAGAATGAACATGAAATTGTATCCATTCAGTAGACTGATACAATGGCTACATTATTAATTCTGTAGTTTTTGCAGAAAATTAGTTTCAATAAAATTAAATTGGTGAACTTTCAGTTTCCCAAAAGCTTATAAACATTACTATCATCAGAATTGTGCTTGGCTATAGGTATTTCGTATTAGATAGAAACAATTGCTAAAGTAAATTAGCCATTTCACTTTTATTTACTAATATAGGGGTATGCCATTATTACTAAGCTAAATGGTCGAATATCCTTATAGCCACAAGAACTTCAAAAATAATATTCAAAACAATAATTTGAAGCAATCTGATTCATTTTTTTCGACTCGAGGTAACGCGAAAACAACTTTTAAAAAAATGTGTTTTTTCTCGAAACTCACGCTTTTTGGCTTAGGTAGGCATTATATCACACAATCCACTTTCCGCATCATGTGTCAAACATGTCACCCACATCATTTCTATTTTGAGTTATGTAATGTCTATATTAATACCTAGTAAAATCTCTTTAATGATTAAATTGTTAATATTGATTTTTATACCGAGATCTTAAATATTTAATGTAAAAATAATTTAAAAGTAACTACATTATTTAGTTTCTTTTTTCTGGGTAATACGCATTTGTTTATATAATTCACTTAACATAAGTCTTCATGGCACTGATCGTTGTTAATTGTTCAACTTTATCAACTTGGAATTTCCAATAAAAGCAATCTTTTTTATTTTGAAACAAACACTTTGAAAATGATGCAATAAGGCATATAAAAACAAATCTATCCATAGCCCGATTTTCCAGTTTTACATTTTTTTTGATATTATTTTGTGGCTGAGGAAAAATATTCTACATTACTTGTGTAAAAGTGATTTCTCATCCTCGTAGTGTAATATACTATTACATATTTTGTAGGTGCACCACATAAACAAGAAGGAGCTTTTTGTGTTTGGGAGTATGATGAAATTTTTAACTTACTGGATGAGAAAACTGATGGTATATCGCACGCCGAACTTATAGCATACCATTACAATGTGAAAAAAGATGGGAATGTAAAGCCATCCCAAGATCCACATGGCGAACTGACGAAAAAGAATGTTTTAGTGTGTTTCGGATCATATGAAAGTACTGCTAATAAATTTGACATTACAGTCGAGAAAACAAAAGAAATTTTAGAAAAAGCTCATGCCGTTTTGTACGCAGCTAGACAAGAAAGACCGAAACCGCATGTAGATACCAAAATATTGACTTCTTGGAATGGATTGATGATTTCTGGATTTGCTAAAGCAGGTTTTTCATTGAACGAAGAAACTTATGTAAAAAGGGCGATAAAAGCAGCAGAGTTTATTAAGCAATATCTCTACAATGAAGATAAAACGCTTACTAGATGTTGCTATAGAAATGATGATAATTCCATTACTTTAGGGCAAGTTTCCATAACTTATTTCATTAATTATAAAAAATCGAATAAGCTAATAATGTGTTCACTTATAGCTAATTGTGTATTCTCTTTTGTAGACAAGTTGCCATATCTGGTTTCCTAGATGACTATGCTTTCTTGATAAGAGGTTTAATAGATCTTTATGAATCTACATTAGATACAAAATGGTTGCAGTGGGCTGAAACCTTGCAAGATACTCAAAACGCTAAGTTTTGGGATGCACAACATGGTGGTTACTTTAGTAGTCCTGAAGGAGATCCATCAATCTTGTTTCGTGGGAAAGAGGGTAAGTTTAATAAACGATATAATTGTAATATATTGAGAATTGCTTATTGCAATCAGTTTTAAGAATTTATGGTTTCAATTGAAAAGAATTTAAACTAAAGAACCGATACTGGAAAGAAGTAAAGTAGGTATTACTAGTGATATACATAAGTATGTATGTAAAAATTGTAGTTTAGTTTCATATGAATTAAGTATAGCTGCTGTTGTTTTTATAGATTTATTTGAACAAAAATAATAATAATCTCCCTAATTCACCCCCTCACGAGTGAATTTTAACCCCTGAAGCCGACTGACCTTGTGCGAAAAAGAGGCAGCTATTATTATTATTTGCTATGGCGCAATGTACAATCGTTTAGGACATATAGTAAGAAGTTTTAAATTTTGTCAAAACTATTCAGCAGTACACAACAGGAGACTTCGGACTTTTTTATGGTTCATGAAGACAGTCAAATTTTGTGTTACATGTGATACATATAGGAGTCAACGTGTTAATAAATAAAAATTAATAAATATTTTAAGCGAAAAAGTGTATAAGGAAAACCTAGTAATTTTTTTTATATCATTTATATAGCTTAAAATAATAGAGGGTCATATAGTTCCTCATTTTCGCTTACAAGCCTCAAAGAGAGTTGAAAAGCATATCGATTTTGACTAAAATAAAAGGAAATTTACGAGTGGCTCTTAGGGATAACACATGGAAAATTCGATTTTCCTTAACAGAAATATTTTCCGACTCCAAAATGCACTTACCTATTCGGGTCATTCAAGCCAATATGTTTTACGGCCTAGTAACGATGTATGTTTTCATACATTCGATAGACTTGTGTCAAAAAATCGGTTAAAATCACGATTTTTCCTTACAAGATGACGCCCTTATTTCAACCCTTTAGTCACTTGCAACATTAAAGCCTTTGATTTTTCGCAGCCTAGTTGTATTAGTTAATCATTTAGTGAACACGGCTTGCGTGAAAACGTGGACAAAACAATATCTTTAATTATTTTTAAGGAAAATCGAATTTTCCCTGTTATCCCCAAGAGCCAATCTTAAATTTCCTATCATTCTACTAAAAATCGATGTACTTTTCAACCCTCTTCAAGGCTTCAATGCGAAAATGGGGCACCTACACCTGTCACTATCTGACGGTCTAAAAACATATACATATAAATATAATACAAAAACAGCTTTTAAATTGATTTAGTTCTGACGTATATACAGGGTATTGTAGATCTTAACCAATTAATAAAAAAACCTAAACATAATTTTCCTGTAAAGGTCCCAGTTTTCATTCGACAGAGTGATGATAAAGTGAATTTCATAAATACCTAATTTTCTAAATACTTCCCTTATGGTAAAGATTTTAACTTAAAAATATGTATATGTTAAGTTAGTCATCATTGTTAATTAACACTATATTTCGATAAATTACGATAACCCATTGGCGTAGAATCAAGGGTTAACAAAACAATTTTAATCCAAACTTTTTGAAAACCCTATATTTCATAAAAGTTAAGATTAATAATTTTTCCTCCCACAATTTGTCACAAAAAAGGGACTCTTGGTTGATCTCTATAGAACATTCCATTTTCAAGATTTTTTAGTTTTAGTCCCACTCAAACATGAAATCTATGTACAATTTTATCAGGGGCCGATTTCATAATTAATATTAGAAAATTCATAGACTAGTGGGATCGAGGTATTATAAACTTATTGGTCACCGAAAATGTCGCACATACATCTGTAGAGACAGTGAATATTATAAAAATTCTGTAGTTTAAGCTAATTTTTTTGTCATTCGTGAAATAATCTCAAATTAAACCCTTCATGAATCTGATTAAACTGTACACTCAAACATTATTTTTAAAATTTTGCTTTGTAGTAAATGTTTTCGTGAATGATAATCCCTCGACCTACTGTCTTGTGATTTTATTAAATTATTTATTATAGCAAAAATTTCAAAATGATGTGTTTGTATACAGTTTAACCAATAAACTAGACACACTCAGGATATAACCATTGATAAAGTGGAGGTTTAAAAATAAAATCATATATGCACATTTGCAAAACCAAATTAAATAATAATGGAAAATTAATTGGTTATTTTGAAAAAATTACTACTCTTTCGGGAGTGGGTGGTCAGTGGTAGAGTCTCTGCCTGTGGATCCAAGGGTCCCAGGTTCGAATCCCACCGTTGGCCGGGATTTTTTTATTTAATTTAATTATTTAAAATTAATTCTGATGCCTTGGTAGGATTCCCTACTCGACCATTCACTGTTGGGTTCTAATTAACAGTGCTGTTCCAGAAGTGGCGCTGGGAAACAGTAACAAAGCCTACACAGAACAAACATGATTGAGAATTTAAAAACACAAACTGAGACTGGCATATTAGGTTTATACACCTAGGCTATAAAAAAAAAAATACTCTTTCTGTGTCTAACTTCCTGTCTTGCATGCGGTTGTGACGCATATAATTGACAACAGCGCATCTCATCGGCTGTGATTCGTACAAAACTTGGGAGGTAGGAAAGATGGTCGTACTTCTCGGCTCAAACGGGAATAGCGCAGTTTCTGTTATGCCAGCCAGGAAAATAATTACGCTATATGAAAACATAACGAGTTTTTAACACGTGACTAAATTGATATCAGCAGTTAGCTAAAAGTAACATTAAGTATTGTTTAAAATAACAAACTAGTATTTTTAACGGTAATTACGATTTGAATACGCCTCTGTGCAAGCACGAGCTCACAGAAACAAATTATAAAAACTGTCACATAGGAAGTAAGCAATTGTCTCCGACATAGCGACGCTAATGTTGGAGTGCGAGCAAAGACTCAATTTAGCATGATTTATTAACAATTTTCAGGGCAGATGTGAGATCTAAATTCTCATTGGTCATAAGGCATCGCCAGTTTGTGAGGGCGTGATTTAGCAATGCCGTAGTCTCAAACATTTGAATTTTAAAAAATCATTTAATATTTTTTTTTACCATCTGTTAAACGATAGTTTTAAGAGAGAGGGATTGGTGTAAATAATTTTCCGAGAAAAGAAATAAGTTTAACAAGCTAGTTGTAAGCAAATTGTACAACTGATATTCAAATATTTAAATAAAGAATTTTGTAAACATTTTCAATTTCTATTATCAAGAAATTCCCACTAAATCTTCTACAAGAATCAGCTAGAACATCCAGACAGAGTTTATCAGGTAAAGAAAGGTGTGATATTCACGAACAAGCACTTTTCTTCAAATACCACTGTCGTATTTGACTCAACTGACAATAAAGTTACCATAAAAGTGATTAAAAAGGTACCCTTTCTATTAGGGGTATTGCTGAAGACTGTATTAGTAGATATACTAAATTTATGATTTTTAGATCCTGACGAAATTATATCACATTCGATATCACAAAACTGGGCGAGTAATAAATATTTTGTGATATAGGATTTTTTTCTATTCACTTCGTACCTTTATTTAAATTATTCTAAATAAAAAAGGAATATGGGAAGAATGAGACGGAAATAAAAATTTTGTCTGTTGCAGATATAAAAGAGGTTTTTATTTATTCCCTCAAATTAAAAATAGCCTGATCTGGTTGCAGAACGTTCATTTAATATTGATGCTCTGTTAAATTTTAACAGACGTTTAGACTGAGTAATTTTCAAGTTCAAAACAAAATAAATATTCTTATTTACTTTGTTACTTAGTTAATGATCTTTTTTATTATTGGATTTCATTTTAACTTTTTCTTTTTTTAGATCAAGATGGCGCGGAACCTTGCGGAAATTCCGTTTCTGCACATAATCTTCTTAGATTGGCTTCTTACCTGGAAAGAAAAGATTTTCGAGAAAGTGCTGCAGGTGTTTTGAAAACTTTTGCAGATAGGCTTACTTCACTTCCTATTGCCTTACCCGAAATGACGTCCGCATTGTTGTTTTATCATAATTCTCCAAACCAGGTAAATATAAATATTTCTTTATAATATTGCACGTTTTAAATATGAGTAAAACGATTTGTTTTATAACTAGAACTGCTTCTCAATAGTTTTTTGTTTGTGTATCCTATAGAAAACTTAAAGGTAAATATGTATTTTTTATTTTTGTTTTTATAAAGCTACAATGTTTTTTGACATGACATTAAGTTATTCTTCTTTATTTATAACTTTATTTAATTGCTTTTTCTTACAGATTATATTTTTCTGTCTTGTACAGTTAGCTGTCAAATATTGGAAGCTCTGACACTGATGATTTGAAAGGATATAGTATTTTTCATTTGAGGCAGTTTTTGGCTATATATTTAGACAGCATTGTTTAAAAAAATGGTCAATATAATAAGCTCAATACAAGCTTAACATGTTGCCACATTATTCATTTAGTTAAGTTTATAGGGTTATACTGATTAGTTCAAGCAAAGTTTCAAGTTCAGGAGATTTATTACTGCCCTAGTTTATTCTGGAACATTTTTAATAAATTTGTCAGATTATTTTTGTATTTGTAGTATCTCACTTTTAAAGTTTATTTTTGACTTTTTCTAAAAGAAAAAATAAAGTAAAGGTCGAGTCTGTGCTCCTCTAGAGACACTTTTTCAAAATTTCATTCTATTTCTAAAAAAAATCGACTTTTAACCATATTCTTATTTTTTTTTTTTTTCAGAAAAAAACTAAATTGAGTTTTAAAAAAGTGGTTCCATAGGAACAGATTTAACCTTTACCTACACGTACATATTTTTTCTTTTATAAATAGTCAAAAATAAACTTTAAATGTGGGGAAACTACGCAACCCCTACATCGCAGGATTTTTCGTTTGGAAAGTGTCGGTTAGATTTTTAAGAAATTAATATTTGTGAATGAAACAATTTATAATACACACATCTCCAAAAGTCTTGGTCCCCCTGGGTATTTTTAAAAATAATCAAATAAAATTTGGAAAATATGGTGAATCTTATTCTTTGTTTTAATACCAAACTATGTGATACACAATCTTTGTAATTTGCTTTCCGAATAATGCAGAATAAAGGAAATTACAAAAAAGATCCAAAAATTGTAAATAAGAAAATGTTATTTTTAAGAAAAAAATGTTATATCGTAACAAAAATATAACTTAATAGTCTGTATTATGGCTCCCACTTTCAATCAATTGACCAACGTATTGCGGAATCCCGCTGATCAGGTTATCAATAAAATTATCAGGTATATTGTCCCACTCTTGAACAGCTACAATCAAGTCCTTAAAGGTTAAAGGGGGGTTTTCGCGATTGGATATTGCTCTGCCAAGATAATCTCATACATATTCAATGGGATTTATTTCTAGTGAGTTTGGCGGCCATTTGTTCTTTGGATATTTTCTTCCTATAGCACGTTTTGTAACCTTTGCGTGCGATGCGGTCTAGCATTATCGTCTTGAAAAATAAAATTGTGTCCAAATTCGATGTGCAAACGCTGAATGATTGGTTGAATAATGTTTTCAGCGTATATGGTACTTTTCATAGTTGTCTCAATTAAAATAAGTAGGGTGCGGCGACCAAACATTATACCCCCCCAAAACACCACTGATCCGCCCTGATAGAGAACAACATCTCTTACAAAAGTAGGTCGTTCCTGTCTGCCTGGACCCCTCCAGGCCCTTTCCCGTCAACTATTACTCTGTAGGCCAAATCGTGACTTGTCCAAAAAATTCAGTTCCTGTGTGCTAATTGGCGACATGTACCTCTGTGTCGAGGTAAAAGCCTAGGCACTTTTGAAGGTCTTTTTGTCCTTAGATTTGAGGAATTCAATCTCCTTCTTATGGTACTTCTCAAAACTACCCTCCACTATGTTTGCAAAAAAATGACTTCGAAGGGCTGTTACCGTTATACTTTGGTTACCGAAGTCCGTGAAATATTCAGGTGACTCGTAATCTGGTTATTTAACAAACCCTCTTGACGTAAGGCAACTATTATTGTCAACCTGAGAAATTGGACGACCTGGCATTTTACGACAAATTTACTTGATTCTTTAATGCTCGATGTCAGCTTAGAACTGATTACTTTTCAAAACGGGACGAAAACAATTTTTGGTTTACAATTTATTTTTATGTATGATGAGATAATGAAGAATGTATACATAAAAAATAGTCACCTTACATTGAACGGGATAAAAGTTACCAAAGGGGTCAAGACTTTTGGAGATGTGTGTATTAGAGGTGTGTCGTTCGCGAACGATTCGTTCAAAAAGAACGAATCAGTGCACTGACTCGAATGAATTGATTCCCTGTTTTTAAAAGATTCGAATCTTTTTTGAGTCAATTGCTCGATGGCTCTGCGATCGATCAAACACGCCGAGTTCCGAGTTTGGTTGCTTCGTTCATTCGATTCGGATTCGGTATTTGGTATTTTACATCGGCATCGGCAAATTGGTCGCTTTTGTTCTACGTTCTACGGCATAATACGAGAACTCTAACTGACAGGCGGTGGCGGTATGTGTCTTTAATGTTTTTCTCACTTTACAGGAGGTGTGTATTAAGCTTAGGTAAACAATTTATGCGTGTTGTCTGATAAATAAATTTAAATCAAAGTAAAATTAAAACAAAAAATGACGAACCGTGAATATATAATTTTGCGTTAATTTTGGCTATATATTTGGCATTTAAAAAAAATTGTGTTATTGTTGTTTATCTTAACGGACAAGGATGTATTTATTATTCAGCTGCCTTTTTTTTATGAAATATGAAACATTAATTCGCTTTACTTTAAAATAAATCTGGTTATAATTATTTTACTCAACGACCTAGTAGGTAGGTAGGTAGGTAGGTAGGTTAGGTAGGTTAGGTAGTACTCAAATTCGTAAAAGTTCGGTTCGATTTCCTTCGCCGGATCGGCGGAATAACATCGTTCGTGGTTCGCTAAAGTGAATCACTTGAGAACGAATCTTGAAGAACGAATCTTTTTAGGTGAATGAATCAAATGAATTAATTCAGTAAAAAGATTCGAACTTCCCACCTCTAGTGTGTATATTGTACTGATGTTTTACGAGAGAAAATAGTGTGCAGGCTAGGCTGGTTTGGTGAGAATCCATTTGATTGGTCCCTTTTTTAACCGACTTCAAAAAAAGGAGGAGGTTCTCAATTCGTCGCGATATTTTTTTTTTATGTATGTTCAGCGATAATTCTTTAACACGGTGTCCGATTTTAATAATTCTTTTTTTGTTGGAAAGGGGGTACTTCAGGGGTGGTCCCAATTTGTTCAAAATCTAATAATTGGGTCCATGAGAAAATCCTCAAACTCTTCATTTTTTTATGTATGTTTAGCGATAATGCTTTACCACCTTGTCCGATTTATATGATTCTTTTTTTGCTAGTAAGGGGTACCTCAGGGGTATTCCCATATAAATTTGGTTAAGATGTGGTGATGGCATTAAATTTTTAATTTCTAATACTTGTAGTACATGTCATAATGGAGTTCGTAGAAAACGTATACTGTTTTACTTGTCGAAAATAATTTTTTGATGCTCGCAAAAATTGTTCTCTCTCTTTAACAAATCTTATTTTCGTTACTCGTAAAATAATATAACAAATATCAAACATGAATATCGTTAGAATTTTTTTAAACCTTAATTAATAATTTTCTTGTTTTTTCTAGGTATTTATTGCTGGCCCTAAAGATGATACCAATACTCAAGCTCTTTTAGACGTAATTCGAACGCATTTTATACCAGGACGAATTTTGGCTGTGGCTGACGGTCCTTCCGGCAAAGCAGGACTGTTGTATCAAAGACATGAAATTCTTTCTCGACTACATCCCGTTCAACATAAGCCCGCGGCATATGTATGCAGGAATTTTACGTGCGCTTTGCCAGTTACCGATCCGACTGACTTAGCAAACTTGCTTGAGAGTGACAAATCAGCACATTCTTAAATTTGCCTAAAAAATAAAATATTTAAATTATTAATAATATAAAAAAAACTGTTTCAATTAAATGAAATTAAAATATGTATATGAGGTGTAGAAATGAATGTTTATCAATGGTTATATTTCTTTTTAGGTTGTTTCAAAAAATAAAAAGACGATTTTTTAAAATTTATTTGTACTTTTCACTTATTCCGATATCCTTTGGAGGCAATATATCTACTTCTATCCTTTATGGATAAATAAAAAAAGTTGAATACTTTAAAATAAAAAAAATATACAGGGTGAGTCATGAGGAACCTTACAGACTTCTACCATATGTAGAGTCCCTTAAGGGGTATATCATATGAACATTAAAAAGTTATTAATAGACGGGGTGGGGTGTTTTGTGAATTTTGACAAAACTTTATATGGCTGTAAAATCTACAAGGATTACTAGATTTCTTTAATTTTTTGGTGGAGCATTACACTGGTGTCTAGCATTTAATTCATATCATCAAAAGTTAAAAATCACCTTAAGGGGTCACATAAATTATGTTATAACATAAAGAAAACATTGTTAATTGTATGCATTTGAACTAAACGAGCCAAACATAAGCCTTTAGTGAGCTTTCTAGATCGTTAAATTCATTTTCGACAATTTCCAGATCCGGATTAGTTCATTTTTAAATTTTAAATAGAAATCGGCCTATTTTTGTAGACTATAGAAACTACTCAACTAAATTAAACATGTCAATAATCAATAAATAAATTGTAGCGAATAACAATAACGAACAATAAATTCACACTTATTAATTAATATAAATGCTATTTATTAACCTCTAATAAAAAAATTTATTCTTGCAACTAAGATATGTGGTTTTATTTTTATTATAAATACATAGTAGGTACCTATGTATCAAGGTAGGTTGTGATAGTTTGACGTTTGTTTGTTCTTATTTATTTGTCATTTGCAACCATTATTTATACGTGTAAAATAATATTTTGCTTTGTTTTATTTATTTTACAATAGTGTTAGAATTTTTGTTGTTGGTGTTGTTATTCAAAATGCCCCATAAGTTTTCAAATGCAGAATATGCAGATATCATTTTTATGTACGGATTCTGTAATGGGAATGGCAGAGCTGCAGCAAGAGAATATCATAGAAGATTTCCTGGTCGTCGAGCTCCTTGTCATTCAACATTTGCATCAGTTTTTAATTATTTGCGAGAACATGGCACATTCCCTAAAGCAAATACAGAACGAAATGTAGATCATAAGCAGGAAGATAATATTCTTGCGAACCCCACAATAAGCACCAGGAAAGTAAGTCGATAACTTTATGTTACCCAATCAAAAGTGACTAGAGTCTTACGAAAAAATAATTTACACCCATATCATATTCAATAAGTTCAGCGGCTACACCCTGGAGATGAAATCCATAGGTTGGAATCTTGTAGGTGGATTGCAAATCATGGACCAGTACTGTATAGAACATTGTTTACAGATAAAGCACAGTTTACAAGGGATGGGATAAATAATTCCCGTAATTTACATGTGTGGGCAGTAGACAATCCCCATGCTGTTCGAGAGTTTCGGTCTCAGTTAAGGTTTTCCGTGAACGTGTGGATTGGTGTGGTAAATAACCAATTTATAGGACCTCACTTTTTTGATGGTCCTTTAAGAGGACAAGTTTACTTAGACTTTTTGCAAAATACTTTGCCTAATTTACTTGCCAACGTAGGTATCCGAGGGATGTATTTCCAACATGATGGAGCATCGCCTCATTTTTTAGTTGCGGTAAGAAACCACCTAAATAATGTTTTTGGCAACAGATGGATAGGACGTGCAGGTCCTATTTCATGGCCTCCAAGATCCCCAGATTTTAACCCCGTAGATTACTATATTTGGGGACGATTGAAAGAATTAGTTTATTCACAAAATATTAATGACCGACAACAATTCATTGATAGAATTATCCTTTGCTCTAAATGTTATTAGAAACGATCCCTTGACTATCCGTAAATCAATAAGGCACTTAACGATTCGGCAACAAAAATGCGTAGAAGGTGGAGGGTTTCATTTCGAACAACTACTGTAATTGTTAATTTATTACCATGATTTTATTTTCTAGTATACATGTTATCATTATTCTATGTATGTAGTATTAGTTTTTTTTTTAAATTTCTTAGTTGTTCGTTATTCTAATTCGTTAAAATTTATTTATTGTTTGTTGATGAAATTTAAACGAAATAAAATATTTCTAATAAATACATATGAACTTATGTTTAATTTATTTGAGTCTCCAAAAATGTACAGGGTGATTTTTGTTTAAAAAATAATTAAAAATTTATAACTAGGCCTGGAAATTGAATAAAATGATATTAACGGTGTAGGCACTAAAGGCTTATGTTAGACTCGTTTTAGTTCAAATGTATACCATTAACAATTTTTTCTTTAAGTTATAACATTATAAGGTGACCCTTAAGTTGATTTTTCAGTTTTGCTCAAAATCAAAACTTAATAAAAAAATTAAAGAAAATGTGACAAAAATGTCACATACACAGTTTTGATTGTCTATCTATGTACTTTAAAAATATCTTATTATAATTTAAAAAAATCTTATACAGGGCGAACTTTTTGATATGAATCGTCGAGATTAATTTTTCCTAAGCCAATCCTGGAATTTTTAAATTTTGAGGATATGAATTAAATGCTAGACACCAGTGTAAAGATCCACCAAAAAATTAGAGAAATCTCTTTAAGTTATAACATTATAATGTGACCCCTTAAGGTGATTTTTCAGTTTTGCCCAAAATCAAAACTTAATAAAAAAATTAAAGAAAATGTGACAAAAATGTCACATACACAGTTTTGATTGTCTATCTATGTACTTTAAAAATATCTTATTATAATTTAAAAAAATCTTATACAGGGCGAACTTTTTGATATGAATCGTCGAGATTAATTTTTCCTAAGCCAATCCTGGAATTTTTAAATTTTGAGGATATGAATTAAATGCTAGACACCAGTGTAAAGATCCACCAAAAAATTAGAGAAATCTCTTTAAGTTATAACATTATAATGTGACCCCTTAAGGTGATTTTTCAGTTTTGCTCAAAATCAAAACTTAATAAAAAAATTAAAGAAAATGTGACAAAAATGTCACATACACAGTTTTGATTGTCTATCTATGTACTTTAAAAATATCTTATTATAATTTAAAAAAATCTTATACAGGGCGAACTTTTTGATATGAATCGTCGAGATTAATTTTTCCTAAGCCAATCCTGGAATTTTTAAATTTTGAGGATATGAATTAAATGCTAGACACCAGTGTAAAGATCCACCAAAAAATTAGAGAAATCTCTTTAAGTTATAAGATTATAATGTGACCCCTTAAGGTGATTTTTCAGTTTTGCCCAAAATCAAAACTTAATAAAAAAATTAAAGAAAATGTGACAAAAATGTCACATACACAGTTTTGATTGTCTATCTATGTACTTTAAAAATATCTTATTATAATTTAAAAAAATCTTATACAGGGCGAACTTTTTGATATGAATCGTCGAGATTAATTTTTCCTAAGCCAATCCTGGAATTTTTAATTTTTGTGGATATGAATTAAATGATAGACATCAGTGTAAAGCTCCACCAAAAAATTAAAGAAATCTAGTAATCCTTGTAGATTTTACGGCCATATAAAGTTTGGTCAAAATTCACAGAACACCCCGTATAATAATAACGAAGGGGAGTTGCCACTTTTTAATGCTCATATGATATACCCCTTAAGGGACTCTACATATGGTAGAAGTCTGTAAGGTTCCTCATGACTCACCCTATACGGCAAAACTTTATTAAATATTCAAAACATTTAAGCAAATACAAGACATATTCATTTAAAGGGAAAGCTGAAAATGAGTATGAAAATTCGAAGGACACCATTTGGGTTGAAGACGATAAGCAACATGAAGTTAAATTTTCAGGTTTATGTGACATTGACGTTTCTCGTCCTACCAAGTAAAAGTTGCCTTTTGATTATATTTCCCTAGTAGAATTTTGTCGCCGATAATCACATAATACACCAAAATTAACGTTGTACTTGGTGTAGAAATTAGTCATTTATGAAAAGACGCTCTGTAAACCACCGGACAACGTCGTTTCAATGTTGAGCATGATTTTAGTTAAACTATAACACACTACAAGTAGTAAATATTTTGGAAATGGGAATAAAGTTCTAATAACGTTTAAGTGACTACTTTAGTTATGTTTTTACAGTTGAATGTGGGAAACAGTTAAAAAGCCGTCAACGGCCCATCAAATAATTAAAGTTAAAAGGCAATTAATTACATATTTCAAACGAGCCATAATGATTTCACAGTTGAACGTGGGAAACTGTTTTCACAGTTGAACGTGGGAAACTGTTAAAAAGCCGTCAACGGCCCATCGAATAATTACAGTTAACAGGCAGTTAATTACAAATTTTAAAAGGACCATAACGAGTTTACCTTTACAAGATACTTTGCCATCACATTCGTTAAAGGGCCGACAACGTGACACAATTTCAATGTTTGTTGGGCTAATATAGAGGACATGCAGGCGATATTTAGATAACAATGATATACCTGATTTATTTTTTTTATTTTTGTAACAAGGATATGGTTAAATTGCTTCTAGTAAAAGAGGAAAAACTTCAATGATCCTAACCTAACCTCAAAATTTTATTTATAAATGATAATATCAAAAAAATGTATATTTATGAATAAAATTTGTGTTTTTTATTAAAATTTCTTATATTTTTTACATCTTTGATTCCTCCAAAAGTTATAATTTATTTTTCCTAATAAAAATGCCGCTAAAATTGCTCATATTCGAGTATTTGGCCCGTTTAAGCCTTAAGCGACCATATTTTGAAAAGTAGAATGCGGGACAAAATAAAAAGATGGAGGAGGCGGATCAGTGTTACCAAAATATGTTTTTTGTTTTTTTTCTAAAAAATGTACCACATTGCATAAAAATTCTATTTGCAGTGACAGTTTGGTTCATTGAAGAGAAAAGAAGTCTTCATAGGTAAGTATGAACACAAACAAGACCAAGAAGAAAGACACAAACACACAACAAGTTTTACATGTTAAATGTAACCCGCCGGAGAAGATTTTGCTTCGAATGTACCTAAATTAAATATTTATATTATAT